AGCACACCCTTCGGGAAAGTGAGGCTATATGAAATTCAATGAAAAATTCAGGTCTACTCATATCGTTGTGGGAAATTTCGAATTCACCTCAAACGAAATTGGGTGAATACATATCATATACGAAAAAACTAAATAATTTAAATCTTATTAAAATTTTATGTAAGCCTCAGCGATAAATTCCTTTATGTATTTTAGCCTAATTGATTTCTTAGAGCTACCGAGAATCATGCTTTCTAATATTAATTAACGATTAATTGTGCAGGTTCTACTTATGGCCGTAATGAAAGTGTGAAGCTCTTCACAATTATATACATAATACACTTTATGATACATTGGAATTAATAACTTAGAAAAATAATAGCGAAACATACATTTTTTCTTCCCTAAGTTTCATTGATAGCAAAGCATGGTCTATTATAATTTTTACAATATTTTGATTACCTCTTATTTAAGTTATTTCAGAAAGTAAGGATTTCTCTGATTGACTCACAAGGAAAAAGGCCCCTGACGAAGATCTCGAGCTATTGTCTATCTCGTGATGGCAGATTCTTTCAACGCGATGATTGTCTACTGCCCAATCAGTTAGACCCCAACGCATGTCACAGATGCGAAGCTCCAGTCCATGTCGGGCAAATCTAGGCAGCCAGGCTGGTGAGCTAGAGAAAGCACCTGGATTCCGCAAAGTTGAGTAATGATAAATCTCTGAAGAAGCGCAGAACTCAACAAGTCGAGGCTGAATGCAACGCGTGAATAATTCACGCTCAAGCTAAAATCATTACAGTCGTTAGAAATTTTGGTAACTTAATTATAAAATAATATACCACCATCTCATATTGAATTCCATGCAGCCATATAAATATATGAATATGAATATAATATAAACATTTTTCTAGTATATTTTATTTCATCGAATCATTACCGATGGAGAAGCTGCTTCTGCGTGTCAAAATAGAGCACATGAACCACTAAATATGTCTAAGTAAAATACCAAATTTTATGTCAAATCAAGTCTATGCCTCATAGTTATTTGTCATTTTTATCGTTTAGTATAAAGTACACATGAGGTAATTAAACTAAGTCATATTCTCAGAATTGGGACCTGGTTTTCCATTCCGAAGGAGAAGTTGTTTGGACGTAATGAGTAATGTGGTCTCATCGGAAATCAAAGGAGGATTGCAGCCTAAGGAAGACTGGTGTATTGTGCGAAAAATTTCTCGGCTCACCACCCTGTGACCCAGATGAACTTGTGCTAAGTTTTCGTCTGTACTGTGACAGACATCATCGGAGCAAGGCTACATACTTTACTAACTTGAGCAAATAGATACTATACCAAGAGAAAAGGTAACAGGCTTCAACTCTAGTCACTTTTTATACATCTAACTTGGTCATCTTAATGAGGCATCCCATGATTTGGTTGGCTACTACAGCCTTACTCTAAATGCTTGCAGATGAGTGAAATTACTTAACGAACCGGAAGTGCGTTCGGTGGCAGCTGTTTATTTAAAAAAATAAACTAATGTACGATCCTCTAATGTTGATTCACATTTGGACTTGATATGGTGCTCCCAGTGGATTATAGCAACTTATAGAGGATAGTGCAGTATAGGGTTGTATGGCATATGATAGTATGGCATAGTATAGTATAGTATAGCATAGTATAGTATGGTA